AGAACAAGCAAATAGCGCTAATAGCGCGCTCCCCGAATCCAGCCGAGAACTGTGCGAAACGCTCACTGTGTATACGCTCGTCGATTTGCGCCTGGAGTATATTGAAGCTCGCGCTCGGCTGATAGGGCTGCTGATCGCGGAAGCCACCGCAAGCGAACTTGTAAAAGTCCTTGCAAGGATCGACGCCACGTTTCATAGATGTTAGGATTCTCTTCGAGGCTTCCACGCAAACGTCCGTGTCGCAAACACCCTCGGGTCCATCTCGCTCTCTGACGCAAGCTTCATCCTGAAATCGCAGTCGTTAGCTTTGCTTTAACGGATTCAGTCTTCCCCCGAGAAAAGATGCCTATTTCTCGCTCCTAAAAATATCCAGATTTCAATTTATCGTACGAGTGCTTGAGAAAGAGCAAATACCTTTTGTCGTCTTGTTACCTCCTGTATTTTTCAAACGGTTAATTTCTTTGAGCCTTTTTATGACAGATATAGATACAATATAATAAATAATAATAAATTAATAATAAATAATTAGTTATTATACGTCGAAAATAAATTTGATTCTGTCAAATTATGACTTCTCTCGATATCTTCTCTTGGGCAGTTTTCGTGCCTCGTTAGACAAAGATAATACTTCAGATGTTTATTACTATAATATATTTGACTCTAACAAAAAGTTCGCAATCAAATAATCGCGTTCAAATCGCGTGATTTAGAAAAATGTACAAGCATAAATGTCAAGATAAGAGGTAAAGCCCTGACCTCAGCTGAGGATGAGCCTTCTATTTCGCCTCGAAACCTTACCTACTGATACGGCTTCACTTTCTGCTGGCGTGTATTGGCATGGCATATATACATGTATCACCTCGAGTAATCGTCGAGTTATCGTAAACGCGATTTCCGTTTTGTTGTTTGATTTCGTGATTTTACACGCGCAAAGAAAATGACGATCAATTTGCGACTTAAGAGGGTATTCAAAAGTCGTAAAAAAGGTATTTTTTAGGAATTTTGTGTCGAGAAACATGAAAAAGGTGAAAAACGTTAAACTCTGTATGTTCTTTCAGCCTTATTTTATAAATATATTTTTATTTGCTAGTAACAAATAAGTAACAAAAACACTCTTCTTTTTTATGTTATATATCTTGGTCACTAGGAGCTCGTAAAATAAAGAATGCATACACGGAGAGAATTTTTTGTTATATTTTATCCTTAAATTCGCTACAAATTTGGAAAAACTTGGCAACCAAGGAATTTTTAAAATATACAAAAGACATTTTACAAACAACGTGATAAAAATTGCCAAGCAGATTGGTAAATTTTGAAAAATTATTGAAATTTCCTAGATATATTTTAGTAAAATTAATCAAACATATTTTATATTTTAATGTAATAGATATTATTTTTTATTATGGTAGATATTAATCAGAATAGCTCGCATAAAATTCTTGGTGGTACATATTGTTCCACAACTACCATAATTTCACGGTAAATTTTAACAGGAAATTCTCTCCATGTATAAACGTAAAATGACAAATGATTCTAGCTGTTCTGGATATCTGAAACGCAAAAACCAAAAATTTTCTTATTCAGAAAAAGTGTAGTTGCCGTCTGAACTAGAATAAACATTATATGTTTATTAGTGTTTCCATTTTTTAAATACTAATAAAATTTTAAGGAAAAACTATATTTTTAATTTAAAAAAAACCGTCATTTTGTCCAGAATGAAAATATTGATTCAGTTCTGACGATAGCTGTACTTCTCCTGAAATAAGAAAATTTTGGTTTTTGCGTTTCAGATATATAAAACAACTAGAATCATTTACTATGTGTCTATGTGCGTTTTTTCTTGTTGAAGATATAACAAAAAAGAAGAGCGTTTTTTTACTTAGAGAATAAAAATATATTCTTAAAATAAAGCTAAAAAAACATGTAAAGTTTCACATTATTCGCTTTTTTGTTTTCCTACAAGAAATACCTTCTATGTACAAACTTTCAAACCAAAATACCCCCTTAAGGGGATGCTGGAGACAGGTCTGTTTTACCGCGATATTTTCAAACACACAAATCTTTTGATTGATTTCACCGAATTAAAACTTTTTTGTCCAGAATTAAAGTATGGACGATAACGAAGACCGCATACACCAATTGCGTATGAAAAACGAAAAGACATTAGAAAATTACAGTTTTATTTTCGATTCTGCGATCGACTCATAACAACATTTGCTGCACATAAAAGTTTTAAACTGTGTACGTATACAAAAATCTTGCAGCAGTCACGGAAATACAATAAAGAAGAATCCTATGCTTGCAGAAATGAGCTGCGAACTTTAGTATAAGAGAAAAGTTCATTTGAAAATTTCATATGCACATGTTACGCGTCTCCCCGAATTCAGCCAAAAACGTACGAATCAGTATAACGGGTAACCCTAGAGCAGGCGCTCTGTATGTATGTGTAAGAATCGGTGAGCACTTCTTTATCGACGCTGATCGAGTTCGCCTGCGGCTCCAGCATCCCCGTAAGCGATTCTCCCCTTCTCTCTTTTCAATTCGTGACAATTCCCTCGTTACTCGATCGTTATAGAGATCAGGGCGGATTTGCGACGCAAGGGCAAGTCACTGATTACGGGAATCCGGCGCGTTTGTTGCTAAACGTCAACTTTTCTCACGTCAACTTTTACCTCAAAGTTAAACGCTACGATCGATGAAAATTACTTCAAGCAACTACTAATCTTCCTGGCTGCATAAATAAAATTATTTATTCGCGTCACTACTTTGCACGCTCTTCGCACATTTGCAAGTATATCTCGTGCGTTATAGCTCACGGGGCACGTCTCCTTGTAATCTCAGTGGCGATTTATGTTTTTAATTTTTTAACAGGCTCTTGTATGATTCGCATTCGCCTTCTATTTTTACGCGTCATAATGTCACGTATGCAAATAAGTACGGGAGGATGGATAGTAGCTTCGCGCGTAAGTTCTGTGCGAAGAAGTGCTATTTCGAAAAGCTTTGAATGAAGAATATACTATAGATATTTTGCGAACAGCACAACTTCTATTAAATAGCAGAAATTTATTTAAAAACGAAATAGAGTTAGAAAATAAAAGTCGATATAATATCGTTGAACGCGCAAATTTCTGGGATGCTACGGAAGCCCGATAATGACGTTGTATTTATTCATATATGCGTCAACGAAACGCGACGAGTCACGGCATAGAATCCTTTTTTTCATACGTCTCCAGCATCGGAAGATGAATTCCAGACTTAATCCCCGAAACTGCCTCGCATTCGCGAAAGCACTTTTTCCTTTTTTCGCCCCGTTTTATGCATTGCGGATACGGAAGAAGAGACGATCGTTAAAGACGGAGAGGACACCCACCAATGGCGCACATTTGCGCGGCTGCTCCCCTTCTGGCAAGGTCGTGATAAGGAAGAGCACCGGGCTGGTGACCAGCAGGCTGGTGACCAGCATCATAGCGAAGGTGAGCAGCGCCTTGTGCACGGCTTTGCTCCTCCGTAGCCAGTAACAGGGCACGCAACATATCCATGTACCCTGGTGCGCCGAACGCTCCACGTGCACCATCGGCTCGTCCGGTAGCCCGGAACCGGCGGCCTCCTCCGTGCCCCCGATACCGCTGGTAGCCACGGTCGCGCCGTGCGCCCCCCCGCGCGCGCCCGCCCCGCTGGCGCATAAATTGCGGGGGCTCAAGGGCAACCGCGCGCTCGCGTCGCCGCGTAATCTACCACCTCCACCCCCACCGCCACCACCCCCACTCCCACCACCACCGCCGCCACCAGCACCAGCACCACCACCAGCACGGGCCCCGCGGACCGCACGGCCCCCGTAACCCTGGCTCACCGTGCACAGAGCCACATTTGCCGGGTTCCGCCGTACGTCCTGTCCCTAAATCCCGAGCCCGCGTCGAGACCGACCGTCGTTCCGCGCCCCCCGGGCGGCCTGTCGACCCCCGCAGGCACGAGGATGATGTCGATTGAGCGATGAGAATGCACGGCACCAGCTCTCACCGAGTGAGCGTCAACTCCTCGAGCGGCTCGTCGCGGGGCTGAAATTGCACGGGAAAATTTCCATCAGATTTGAAATCGCGCCCTCGTCTCGCCTCGCTTATTCATTGGCGCGCTTTCAAAGACCGCGAATTATCGCCTGAAGAGCATCGTTACGTTTTTCTTTTTCTAAACTTCATATATGGCGGAATAAAGAAGAAAAAAAGTTTATATATATTTTATATAGAACTTTGTACAGAATATCCCGAAAGCGCATCCCAGACAGCACCGTGTGCAAAATCGGGACGTAAGACGTCTTAAAGATATGTTTTAAAGATGGGATTTTGCAACTTTGTATATCCGCAAAACTTCTATACAAACATATATTAAAATAAAACATTTTCGTAATTTCAACTCAATAAAAAAATCTGGAGTAAAATAAACTTTTTTGTTATATCATTGCAAAAAATTTCGTTAAATTCTATTTGAAGTTATTATTTATTGATTTCAAATCAGATTTTTAAAAAGAAGAAATTAAAAATCTTTGAGATAGGAAAAGAGTAGCATTTGATGGACTTTAGTAAGTAAAAAATGGTTTCTGTAACTGTGTTCAGTTTTGTTTGTCAAATTTGAAAATGTTTTTTGCTGAAATCAACCTAGGAGCCAAAGACCGAATACCTTTTACGTAAGTCACATTTTACTTACGTGAATTTTCAGGGACGACAGGACGCGACGATCGAAATTCGCAATTTCGCACAAACTCGCCGCGTTTCTTCGAACTTCACTTCTGATCGAGCGGTTAGACTCGAAAGAGCGGGATGTGCACATGGCGTGCTCGACGCGCCGTGCAAAATTTAATCGACGACGTTTCGACGACGCGGATCGACGTTTCAGCGACGTTATCACGATCTCAAGGGTACGGCCTGTGATGGGTTACGAACGCGATATACTGCGATATCCGTTCTCCGAGTTCACAGTGACACGCGGACGGTCGGACTGAACTCGGACGGAGCGGGCACCCGCGCTCCCTCTAACTACCCTATTCCCACCCCTTCCTTTCCAACCCCGCAATTCCTACACTGTTTTTTCTTCTTCTACGTGCATCTCTTTCCGTTTCTGAACTCTTTCGCGTGCTTAAATTTTTATAAGGCAAACACAACGCACAAAATACTGCAACGCGAATTGCGTCTTTTCTCTCACTACGCAAAATTTAATTATCAAAACTTAATTATAAAAATTTAATTAATAGGTAAATATATCGCACTTTACCTCGTATATGTCGTATGATGACCTTCGAGCAAGCTCCAATTAACTTAATCGATTAATTTATTAATATTATTTTACGTTATGTAACATAAATATAATCTTTTTATTAATTTTTATTGTTTGATATTTGTAAAGCAAGATTGGAGATCAGGGACAATGAATGGTTTGAAATTTTCCTATAAATAACTATACCGGTTGAATTAACTGTCCATTAATTTGATCGAAATTATCCTTGTGAATTTAACGTCATAGCGTCACACCGAAAACAGACAAACAATGGAAGGAAGGAGGTAGTATTAAATTGATAGCATTGAAGGTACACTAGATAAAAACGATGCCAGCCAAAAAATACAGCTTTTATTCGTCCACCTATAACGCATACACAATAAAGTTGATTAAATTCATTTCAACTGCAAGATATATGTAATGAGATGTACATATATAAAATATACAGAGCGGGACAACTCTCGACTTTGTGACTCAATTTATCTCTGTGGTTATCGAAAAGTGCCTTGAACAACAGAGATCGTCTAAGTCGCGAAATTAGACGTCTCACTCTGTATATAAGATATATATAAGATATATGTATACGTTTATATAGGGTGTCCCGGGCCGTTATCACGTCGCTTCTTGACGGACTTTTTGGAATGATTCGACGACGAGGATCTCAATACGCGAAGCTACTTAAACGGGAAGCGACGAGAGTTTAACTCAAACTTTATATAGCGTTCGGCCAATTTTATAATCGCACTTCCCTATTAAAAAAAAATATAGCAGGCCCGGTATTTCCGTATTGAGATACCCATCACGAAATTATCTGGTGAAAGCCGCCCTAGACAACACGCATGTCCCAAATCGAGACATATGTCTTAAAGACATTATTAGGATGTCTTCAAGACGTCTTATGTCCCAATTTGAGGCATTATGTTCACTGCAGGGGCCCTTCGGTGACTAACGTGCAGCGACGGAATGTCCTACACGCACATATACATACATAATATACACATACCTTATTTATATATGCATTTATATTCATATAATTTAATGTAATGCTCAAACTCTCTGTTCGCTACGATTCTAAGGTACATCATCTACACATGCGGATTTTGTAGCATCCGTATTTCGCGTTCTCGTGTCCCTCACGGACGTCCTCGCGTGTCCCCCTGTCGTTCCCGTTAAACTGTACAAATGAAAATATATAGACTCTTAATCACTCTGGCACGTTGTGCACGCTGCTCCAGAACGTTATCAAATAAATAAAACTCCGTGACATGCATCAATTATATATAAGCGGGCGAAGAGAAGGATACATCAGACCCCTATTCTACAGATCTCTATTCTAAACATTCTAAACATTTATCAAAATTGAGTAATAATTCTACAAAAGGAAGAAAAAGAAACGGATGTTGACTCATGTATAGTTTGCGGCATCGTTAAAAAATAATTTCGCAAATAGTCGCTCCTTTTCTGATTAACTCGACCCGCCTGCGTCGTCGAATTTTCTATTAACCCTTAAATGACCAGTAGGGTCCAACGGACCCCAGACCCTTTAGAATGAAATGTTTTCAAATGTTCTTGCCAAAAATGGAGCTCATGCTCTCATTGATGATAGTTGAGTGATTGACCTACCCGTGTGTACACTTAGCAGTACTTAGCAGTTTACTTAATTTTTTATACTATGTCGAAATTGAAATTTGAACAATATTAGCATTTTATACTCTTCTCTAGACTTTGAACAACATTGAAAAAAATTGTCATAACTAAAGATAAAAAAATCAATGAGTAAGGAGACATTTTTCATGCTGGGGTCTTTTAGACCCCTCAGTGAACTTACGAGATTCTTGAGAGGTGTGGCATTTAAGGGTTAAAAATAGAAAAAAAAAATTAAAATTTTATCGCTATACAAGGTGGACCCGAATTATCGGGCTGCGAGGACGACGATGATTGCACGAATATTACTTGTTCCCGGAATACTCTTTCGCTGCAGACGCTATCGATTCGATAACGTTCATTAAAACGCTAAATGCTTCGAGTTCACCGCTCCGTCAGAAGAGTAATTTTTATTCCGCTATTTGAGTAATACATAGTAAATTTCCTTTCTTGTCATCTTGTTCCCCTATCGTCAAGTTTCGATCGTCGACTTGAAAACTTTTCGGAAAGCTGTCAACGCGCGGACACAATTTTAGCAAAATAATACTCCTTGGTAATTGCGTCGGTCGGAAGCTTAGCGCTAATAACAATAATAACAATAAATACTAATTAAAAATAACAAGTCATAAATATCGGATAGATTTTTAATAGAGATTATAATATTCTGGATCATATTTTTTAATCCATGACTGTCCGGACACAATAAATTAAAATTTTTTATCAATTCTTTCTGCTGGGTGCTTTTCGCACCTGTCTACATTAAAATGAAGAACTTCAAAGATCGTAAAAGACGCGTAAAAATATGATACAATATAAGTAATAAACATATAATTTTATGAGAAATCTATTTCTTTTATCAGAATTTCTCAGAGATGCAAACAAACTGTTCTTTAATAAAGTTTGTTGATTTAACTTTTCTTTTTCGATAATAGGGCCTTTAGAAAACAAGTTAAAGTGCTGAAAATTGTATAAAAGATACAAATTCTTAACGATACAAGCTTTGTTATAAACGGCATGATATGTGATTATAGGTGACACTATAATTATAATAGAGATACGGCAAACGCACGGCTATAATGAAAAGTGCCGGGATTGACTTTTCTGCGATGATTCGAATGCGAATATAAACCAAAACGCGAGAATAACAAATGGCGATAGATTGGCACGGGCGATGCGATCGGCGCGCAAAACCAAAATCTGAAATAAATCGAGGTACATTACTCCTGCCGCGCGACGCGAAATCAGGAAAGCAGAGAGGGAACGCTCGCGCAAACATCTTCCGATCGGATTATTCCTATTTTCTTCGCTGAAATCGGCGATAATCGCGTGGACCGTGGTCATCGATATCGTTAGATCGCGCTGAATCGCTCCTCGTGGGCCTTCTTGACAATCGCTAGTTTGGAGTGAGGATCCGCCGTCGATAGTCCCGTGTATGGTGGTTCTCTGGTACCGTGAAGCATCAGCGTCCATTCTTTCAGCCATCCGTGTTGAGGCGTCTGAGTGTTGAAGCTTACCTAAAAGAGCCTGATGTTCAGATCGAGTTATACTCCCGCGAGTGTGCTAGGCGAGAGGAGAAGAACACGTAATGAAATTCAAATAAGGAACACGGGCAAACGAAAGAAGGATGTTAAAAAAGTATCGATTTTGGCCACCGAGTGTAAAGTGAATGGACCTTGAAAAATTAATTATTGTTTGGGTCCTCAAATGACAGGAGATAATAATCATTTGTCCGAGAAGTGGTGACTTAATCTGGGCGGGCAGTGTGGTCTAGTGGCAAGTGTCAGACTCGTAACCGCGAGGACTCGGGTTCAAGTCCTCCTGACTACAATTGAAATTCCAATACTTCGTTTTTCAAAAGACGTTAACTTCTTGGTTTTCTCCCACACGTAGCAACTAGGCACTTCTATGTGTGACATTAGGAGAAGTGCATGTGTACATCACATTCCTTTCAAAATAATTGTACGAAATCTACATAAAATGTATAGTGGTATAGTCGTAAAATACGACTTAAATATAGTTAAAAAAAAACAAAATGGATGAAATTTGGAACTTTCTTAGAGCGATCTTTTAAAAATGCCTTGGCCTATTTCTCCTTTGGCTGGATAAAATTCCAAACTTTATCCAGCTTATTTTTTTACTATATTTAAGTTATTCTAGCAATGTTTCCACTACTTCTCGGACAAATGATTATTATTTCCTGTCATTTGAGGACTCAAACAATGATTTTTCAAGGTTTATTCACTTTACACTTGGAGGCCAAAATCAACACTTTTTTAATATTCTCTTTTACCTCCAGCAACCAAGTTCCCTGGGGATACTCTCCCCATGTGTGCGTCGTCATGAATGGCCACTTCGTGAATCCATCTCTGTGATCGTCATCGTTTACTCTGCGGCTTAAGATCATAGATCTGAAAATTATGGAAATTTATTTATATCGGACTCATGAGATAAAAAATTAACCCATTTCTGGTCGCTACCCAAAATTGATGGAATTATTTGATGCCTTCTGTTATGGGCTTGCTATTTTGGAATTTCCAATAATGTTTTCGTGCAAAGAGAAAATTTTCCGATTTTTCAGTTCTCTGGACAATGCTGGTGAAAAAATGCACTATTGGTAAGATTTCTTGCAGGTAAGTCTACTTGATTGCTCAATTTAGTATGATTTGTGTTAGTTTCGTCGTCTGACAAATATCATATGATTTTTTAAATTATTTCAAACATTTGTAATACCTGTTATTAAAAAGGTCCATTTTTAACCTTTTTTCATCTGGCCACCATTGCACGCACAGATGCGAAATCAAATTTGCTACTTTGACCACATAAATATATTATCGAGAGTTCAAACTTTATTTTCAGGTCATATAAGACTGACATTCTCATCTCAACTAAAACAATTTTCAAAGTTGTTGGTG